ACATTTGGCGCGAAGCTATCCAAAAATCAGTTTTTTTGGCTGTTGCTATGGCAACGGTGGGCCAAAAAATTTTTCCAGATTTTTCCTTATAACTAGGGTTAAGGTGTGACCTACCTGCCAAGTTTGAACGAAATCGGCCAAGCCAAAAAAATCACAGAAGAAATAATACGTGAACACTGGAAATGTACACACACAGACACACACACACACAAAACGACAAAAGTGATTATAAGGGCAATCCTAGCGGAGCGGATCGCCAACAAAACGACAAAAGTGATTATAAGGGCAATCCTAGCGGAGCGGATCGCCAACAAAAGTGATTATAAGGGCAATCCTAGCGGAGCGGATCGCCAATAATGATGCCACAGACTTGTGCTACCACAGTCATTGTATTTGACCATCAAAATAGTCATCACATAGCAATCGCAAAATAGTCTACTATTATTTGCAGCGCAATTTATTCACTTATTTATTGCAACTACCAGATATACCTCTTGAGACTTATTATTAGTAATGTGTAATTGTGATCCTACATTAAGTGGTTGCGAGCATTAATTGCATTAGCATTAATTAATAAAATTTTTGTAAATTATATCAATTTTATTTTCAATGTGTTGTTTGAAATTTAGTATGCATTGATACTATGCCAATATATTAAATTATAATGAGCATGATTTCAGACGTAAATATGGCTAAAACGAGAGATGTATTAGTATACCGACATTACCGCAAGTATGGTATGAGCTTGTATATATATATATATATGTATATATATATATATGATATTAATATGATATTAATATGACATGATATTAATGAGCTCACTAATTTTAATCAACATAATTAAAACAATCATATACTATAACACAAATAATTCAAGTAAACCGTTTATATAATTCATTATTATATGCTGGCTTCAGGTCTTTTCTTCATCCACTCAACAATTCTTGGGCGTCTCTCTATGCATTTCTTCAATGCATCTAATTTGGGATAATCATTCAAAACACCTGGTCTCCAATCCACCATAGTGTAGCATATATCAGCAAACGACAAATCAGCCAGCGTCACCTAAGGTTAAGAAAACAAAATTTTTTTGGAATTGTGTCGAATACATACCTTAATATTTATGTAGCCTTCTAAAAATTACAATGATTACAGTACAAAAATTGTTCTGAGAATCAAAGAAAAATTTAGCTTAATTTTCGCATGGTTTAAATATAATGTCAAATGTCAAAGACTATTGAAAGCTATCACCGACAGTGAATCATACAATGACGGACACACACATAACAAAGATCAACATGCATTATCTAAGATGTACAATTTTGTCATCAACTACAGTACACTACACTACACCTGTTTTTCAGAGTGTCAATTATTATTTGCCAATACTGATGTGAAAACACGAAATATAAAAAAAAAACAATCTTCTTACCTTATCTCCGACAAAGTATCCATCCCCACCATTGTTTTCTTTCAATACACGTTCAAGTCCTTGTAATAACAAAGGGAAGACGTCGTTATAGTATTTGTCCATCAATTCCTGTTTATTCTCCTTGGCAAACCATATGTCAAGTAGCTTCTCGTATATATCTTTCATTGTGTCTGTTATCATGTCTATTCTAGCTTGGTCAAATACGTCATCAGCATACAGACCTGTGTAATCAATGTAATTACTGAGGCAACAGTAATGAACATAATTCAAATTACGCAACCAACAGAGAAAAGATAGACTATTAATACAATACAATACAAACTGGTCGAGTGAGCACGTCGTTTCCAGCGCTCCGTGCGTTTTCGCCTGGTTTTGGTGTCTTGCTTCCGTCTGAGTTGTGATTTTTGCCATAGGCGTTCTGTTTTGTTGTTATTGTCACTACGTGAACTTTCTGGTTTACTTTAACATATGTTGGTGCCTTTTGGAGTGTTCTTGGCAAGGTGGTCGGCGACCAAGATGGCTGCCGCTCACACACGACCACCTTCAACGCCAACAAGTCAGTTAACGAGAAATCATGCAATAAGGTGTGAAAATATTGATGGAATCCCAGTCGAAACCTATGTGGAGGCAATTGCTGATTTGATCGGGGCTACTACTATTGTGGCGGCCTCTCGCATGAACCGATCTGTCATTGTTTTTCTATCTAATTTCTCATGGGTTGATATGGTCTCTGCCGCTGGCATTGATGTTGGAGATTTATATGTGTCAGTCGAACCTCTGGTCCATCCCTCAACTAAAATTGTTTTATCAAATGTACCCTCTTTTTTGCCAGATAAATGTATTACTGACGCCTTGGCCAGCTATGGGCGTGTTATGAGCGCGGTGCGAGCGATTCCACTCGGGTGTAAAAATCCAACACTAAAGCATGTTAAGTCTTTTCGCCGGCAGGTTTATGTTCATTTAAAAGATCTAAATATTAATGGTTTATTGCCTATTACATGGTCAATCGTACAACATTTATGTTTCATCCGATGAACTGACTTGCTTTTCATGTAAGATGAAGGGACACACACGGAAAACATGTCCAAACTCACAATCAATGGATATGCAAATGACTCACAGTGAAAACAATGGTAATCAAAATAACTCAACAACAGATATGCAACAGGTAAAAGGTAACTTAAATACCACTGGCACATTGACTGACAAAAACGATGACATAACCGATAAAAATACTGATACTGCTATACAAAATAATGTGACCCATCTAACAGAAAACATTGAAACTGATATGGCTACTGGCTCAACCAAGAACACGATAAAAAAGCGCACGCGTTCACAATCGCCAGTGAGCAGAAAAACACAAAATGGTGACAACATAAATAATGAAAATAACACTGAACCGATCCTCAAAAAGCGCAACGATGGAAATGAAAATGAAATAGAAATTATTGAAGAAAATATTTCAATTGATGAAGAGAGGGTACAAACCCCTCCTTCCCCTCCCATTGCATCATCTTCGCCTCCCGCACCCTCTTCGCCCTCCAAACCCCTTCCACATGTTTATGCAAATGTGACAGTGTGTAACCCTGTGCCACAACCCGATGATACTGTGTTGTCTTCATTTCCACCACCACCCTCACTCGATTTCACTGCTACATCTCCGCGCTACTCACCGCTTTCTGCAATCCCACTTGGCTTAAGTGGGATAACCGATCAGTCTCAAGACGTTTTAAACACACCAAATCCCCCAGATCAAACGAATGTCGAAATGGAGGAAACTGTTAGTGAATGTAGTGACAATGAAGGGTCTACGATATCCGAGATTTCAACGTGTACTGACAGTAATGAAACAGCTATATCAAATGAAAATATTAAAGAGTTTTTGGTGTCCACGCTGCATTCTCGTAGATTTATAGACAAGTGCTTTGAATTTTGCTTCAATTCTGAAGATACTTGCTAGACACCTAATGAACTACCGAAACTCCCAGCAGTTGAACACTTCAGACAAAGCGCGCATTCACAGACAAATAAATCAGAACTGGTAATTTTATGGCCGATTTATAAAAGCTCCACTCTCATGATGGCAAGCTCAATAACATACGCAATATACAACGTTAATGGCTGTCGGGATGCTCTTAAACGATATGGTGTATTTGAATATCTTAAGTGTGACCACCCATGCAATTTTTATATGTTACCGGAAACGCATTCTCTTGCATCAGATGAAAACATATGGAAACTTGTGTGGCGTGGCCTTTGTATATTTTCTCATGGCACTGTTAATCGCGCAGGTGTAGCTATCTTGTTTTCCACAAATTAATAATATCTTATTTCACATTATAAATATGTATGCACCCATCAACGGCGCTGAGCGCATGGAATGTTTTTTCTAAGCTTGAACATTTTATTAGTAATTTAAACAACGACCCTGTCATAATGGGAGGAGATTTTAACTGCGCTACTGAACCTGAAATAGATCGTAATAAAAGTAGAGAACCTGACATGCGCACTGCCAAGCTGCTCAAATCTGTCCTGCATCGCCTCAAACTGTGTGATGCATGGCGTCAGCACCATGGTAACACGTTGAATTTTACTTGGGGTCGTGGTGATACGCTCGTTTAGATAGAATTTACATCAGCAAGTGCTTGCGCGGTAAAATTAAAAATATCAATACCAGTAATGGTGCGCTAGCGTTTTCTGATCATTCTCTTGATAGCATCATCATCGCTATAGACGGTGGTAAACATAAGAGTCCTGTGTGGTGTATGAACACCGGGATTTTAGGAGACGATGATTACGTAGCTGTTATCACTGAGTTTTGGGCGAAGTGGCAATCGCTCCGAAACAATTATGTGAATATCCAGGCGTGGTGGGACATCGGGAAAAACAAAATCAAATTACTAACCCAGAAATATTGCACATTTGAAAAAGATAAACACAAAACAGAAAAACACGTTTTGGAAATGGAAATCCAAGCCATTGAATGCACTACTACCCGCAATGCACTGCTCTCCAACACCTACACCGAAAAGACTTCTTGCACACCTCGTTAAACATGAAAAATACTGGTCTTACTACTCGTGCGCGACATCAGTTTCTAAACGAAAGTGATGTGTGTCACTCCTTCTTTTTCCAGGTAGAGAAAAAGAATGGCAATAAAAAGGCGATTTTTCAGCTCAGGCGCCAAGATAACACACTCACTGAAAATCAAACTGAAATTCGCAAATTCATACATGATTTTTACAAAAACCTGTACACTCCCGATAACATTGACATCAATGCTCAAAATAACATTTTTGAAGGCCTCCCGAAGCTTAGTGAAACCGACCGTGACGACCTTGACGAACCGATCACACTTGACGAAATGAGCACTACCGTCAAAATGCTTTCACACGGGCGTACGCCTGGCATTGATGGGATACCAAGCGAGTTTGACCAAACGTTTTGGCACATTATTGGAAGAGATCTGTGTGAAGTTTTTACTGCTGCTATGATGGCTTAATTATCGAGTTATTAAACCTTCAAGTCAGGTAACCGGTGATCGGGAAGTTCGCCACCCATTCAATCGAACAAAGACACACAGAGAATCGAAATGTGTTACATTTGGTCTCAGCCGTGTTGCTTCTCGGCCGTACCCCCGACTGACTCTCTCATGCCGAGACCACTTTATTCACTTTTCCAACTGTTAACCAATTACAGAGAAGTTAAAAGACTCTAAGGTGTGGCCTTCACACATATAGCCAATCACGCAAAGTATTTAACACACCATAATGTTAGATTAATTGCCCCCGATTCGGGACATAACTCGCATACTTATCGGTGCCTCATTGACTTAACCAACTTCCATACTTCCATAGTCGACCATTATATCAGCCAGTTGTTCCAATCACTAATTCCCTAACATACGAATGAAGCTGATCATGACAAGTCACGAGCAGGTGTGGATCATTCAGGGTCAGGGTCATCAGTGAAAGTCGCGATTACTGCAAAAAGCGGCCTCACCGAAATACATGGAAATAAATCATGACACTGCCATCAACGAAAATGCGCTCCCTCTATCTTGTACTAGAGCAGTTGTTAGTCTCCTTCCTAAGCAAGGTAATGTCACCAAGCTAAAACACTGGCGACCAGTGAGTCTGTTATGCAGTGATTATAAAATCTTGCAGTGCGACTGCGCGGGGTTATTGGCACCTATTGTCCACCCAGACGTAAAACTAGTCAAGCTTGTAGCGTTCCCAACAGGCACATTCATGACAACATTAGTCTCCGACGTGAGAGCATTGCTATGCCTACGTTACTAACTCTCCTCTGGCCATTGTTGCCCTAGACCAAGAAAAGGTATTTGATAGAATAAACCATAGCTATCTCTTTAACACACTTTATGCCTTCGGTTTTTGTGACCGCTTCATTTTATATTTTCGCCTCATTTATGCATACGCCCAGTCTCTGATTCGCATTAATTACACTCTCACAACACCCATCACAGTGGTTAGGAGTATTCGACAAGGCTGTTCAATGTCCACTGCCCTCTACGTTATAGCCATTGAACCACTACTTCAGAAAATCATAAATGATAAAAACATTGAAGGGTTAGTCATACCACACAGTAATAAACATCATTGTAAACTTACTGCTTATGCTGATGATGTTGAATTTTTCATAACCCGTAAACAGGATTTTAGTTCACTTGCTCACTGGTTACAAGTGTATGAGCGGGCATCAAACTCAAAAATAAATCTGCAAAAATCTGAAGGGCTATGGGCTGGTAGCTGGCGCAACAACACTGACTCTTCTCTTAACATCAAATGGAATAGTGTGGGATTGAACGTGTTGGGTGTTTATCTTGGGAACAGCCAAACATATACCGACCAGAACTGGGATGAACTTGTGTCAAAACTGAATAACAAAATTAATTTCTGGAATCACTTCGTTCATAGCATGTCCTACAGAGAGAGCACACTTGTTATTAATAACCTGCTTTCTTCACAGCTATTGTACCGTATTAACAGCCTAGCACCACCCATGGACGTAGTTCTGAAGGTGCAGAAATTGTTGCTTGAATTCTTTTGGCAAGGCCGACATTGGGTTTCTGCCGAAACAGTGTACCTCCCCTTGGAAAAAAGTGGGCAAAACGTCACGCACCTCCCAACGCGCATCAGCGCTATGCGTCTCGGTTACATTCAAAGATACCTGTACAGCAACCATAACCATCCTTGTTTTAAATTCACTGACTATTTTTTTAACCAAGTAAATATTGAGCACTTTGCCAGTCAACTTCTATGTATCACTATTAATGCACCTCTACGTCATCTGCCATTGTGAACTCCTCCAGTGTTGGAAGTCTGTTGATAAAATGCGTAAGTATAATGATAGTAACGTTATTGATATTCTCAACGAACCACTGTTTCACAATCCACTCATTCTACACCCCATAGGAAATGAACCGTTTGAACTCAGACACTTTATGGATGCAGGAGTAAACAAAGTCAGGGACTTTGTCCAGGAAACAAAATGTATCTGGTTGGGTACTGCTGATCTGGCAGATAGAATTAAAATCCGCTCCGAGCGTATTCTTCAGCTCAGTATAAAGGTTATTCATGATTCCATCCCCACTGAATGGAAAGACACAATCAACACCTATTTCAAAAGTAAAAACGAGTGCAATCATTCTCTTTCACACCTCAGCTTTCAACTCCACTTTTCTGATGACCTTAGCTTACCACTTTATAAATTTGAAATGGGTGCACTTTATAAATATCTGATTCAGGTTCTCTACGTCAGTCATCATCCACAAAAACTAGATACTGTTGGCGTGACATACTGAGTCTACCTGAAAATGCCAAGCCCAATTTCCACGATTGTTATAAAGCACCAGTTATTGGAAAATATAGGGACCTGCAGTGGCGTATCTCTCATGGTACGTTTCCAACTGGGAGATTTCTGTTTAAAGCCCGTCTGAACAGTTCTGATAAGTGTCATTTCTGTGATGAGGTCGATACTCTTCAACATATCTTTTTTGATTGCTCGTCTAATGATAACCTACTCTACCTTTTTATGAACATCACGTCTCGTCTGGTTCAACAAGACTTTCGGATTCCTGGTTGGTGGTTCATAATATTACCAACCCGTCGCTCAAAACAATTTCATTCTAGCCAGGCACAAAGCATATTTTGCTTCTTAGCGTGCATGGCTAAAGTTGCGATTTACTCCAGTCTATGGATGTGGGAGAATGAGGTTACCCTTTGCCACAACTGCCTCCAGGTCACCCTTAAGCAAGGTGTAGCACCTGTGAGCCTTGGGTGCCAACTTCCCAGATAACAAGTTTGGTTGACGTCAGTAAGGGCATACGGTCGTAAAACTCCTGCACAAACAGATCCGCATAGGTGGACAATTGTTCATGTATATATTAGTTCCAGTTGTTCTTAACAATTGGCAAGGGGGATCGTAACCTCTTGTGGCGAGAACCAGTGTGACTGGCCTGCCAACGGGGTGCTAAGGATTTCATTGGAAAAGTTATCAGTTACATCCGTTAATGTAATTTTGTTTTACGTACCCGTAAATCAAAAATCACAATACGGAAACTCACACTATTAAAACGTTGGACTGAATATCCTTCTATTTTCTCTGATGTTTGCCGAAGATGAGAATCTGTTATTTCTAGTATCTATGCACACATTATTTAACAATTAATTCAAAAAATATAAATTCCATTGACTGTAAAATATAGTTACACGAACATTCTACCGAGTGTACTGATTTATGTTCGTCACGAAACGATGAATTTGCATATGTATATACGTATATACAATTTCGTTTTGAATTTGAAGAACAGAGACCAAGGAAAAGTGAAACAAATTAATATCGTTTTTCTTTTTTTGAATATAAGTTGTTGAAAACATTGGCCATTCGATCAACTTCTCCTCTGAAAACTGTTTCAAAAGCTGCATGTGTTAATGTTGT